CCAGCCCCTCAAAATTTGAATGTCCTGTGAGTCCCACTGTTGATGGTGGTGTGCCAGTTTACTGTTATTGGAAGAAAGTGGAGACCTTAAAAGGGGGATCCAGTGGAGAGTCTTTGGTCATTAGGGACACCCCTGGGAAAGAGACCTTGAGTCCTGGCCCCTTTCTCTTCTATATTTTTTATACCTAACTGTGAAGCAGGCAGTTTATTCTACCTGATGCTCCTGGCTTGATGTGTGGCCACAGGTCCAAAGCCACAGCAACAGCCAGTCACAGCTGGACCCCCGCCCCAACACTGTAAGCCATGGCAAAGCTTTTCTCTCTGTAAGCTGGTGGTTACTTTGGGTATTTGTTACAGTAGTGGAAAACTGACACAGACAAAAAGATGCCAAATGTCCACTACACTGATCCACAGGATATGTGTTGATTTGGTGTGTTGGTCTTGTATCTGGCCCCCAGGGCCAAGATTAGAGCCCTAGGGTCAAGAGAGTCCTAGGGTCCTGCAGCTGCAGGGTTGGCACTTGGGGATGAGTTCCTTCTTCAGTTATGCTTCTTTCATTCTCGTGCCCTAGTCCTAGCCCTACTGACTCAGTTTTCTTCCTGGTCCTGAGGATTGGGCCAGGGCCTTCACACTGAGCTGCACTCCCAGGCCTTTCTATTAATTCTTCATTTTCAGACAGGCTCTCACTAGGTCACCAAGTTGCCCAGGCTGAGCTTGAATTTATGATCCTCCTGCCTGAGCCTCCTCTCCAACTGGGATTGCAGCTGTCAGTGGGATGTGCAGTCCAGTGCCCTCTTTATTTACTGAATTTTATTATTAGTTCTGATGGCTTTCCAGTTAATAATCTTGGACTTTCTAGAGAAATAATTGTAACTTTAAGGGCCAGCAAATAGTTCAGCAGATTAAAGAGCCTGCAAGCAGGCACGGGGACCTGGGGTTTAATCCCTGGGCCTGCTGTGCTGGCCCCGTCCTGGTGCCAGCCCCACCCTCGGAAGGTGCTGAGACAGCAATTGAGATGGGCCGTGGTGGCATTTGCCTATAATCCCAGCTCTTGGGAGGCTGTAAACAGGCAGATCACTACAAGACCAATCTAGTAGTGAGACCCTGAGCACCTTGTAAGCCCTTCCCTAAAATAAAAATAATAATAATAAAATAAAAAAATTGTAACATTAAATACTGATAACTTTTTCCCTTTCAGGTATTTATCCCTTCTACCTGTTCTTGCCTTCTTTCATTTTATAGAATACCTAATAAAATGTTGAAAAGTAGCAGAGTAATGGGACATCTGTGACTTATTCATAACAATGACAATGCTTCAAGTGTTTCACTGGTGTGTGAAGCTTGCGTTAGGTTTTTGGTGAAGCTCCTTTATCAAGTTCAGTATGTGACACTGTGGATTTGATTTGCTAAGAGTCTTGTTTTGGTTTCGTTAAATCAAGAGTGGATATTGACTTTTATTAAATTCTTCCTAATCTTTTTACAAGGTACATTTTGGATCTATGATGTTGTAGATAGTTAAAAAAAAAAAAAGTTAGTAGATACTGAAGGTTGCTTTCTTAGAGAGTATTGCAAGGGTTAAAGAAAAAGAGAAATTTGCAAGCTGGGGGACCAGGAGGTCAGTGCCTCAGATGGGCCAAGACAAAGACCTCATCAGCTGGCCCCCTTTATCAGCCAGTAAGAAGCCAGGGGAGTGGTAGTGTCCTTTTCCTGGAACAGCAACTGCAGGAACAGGTGGTGGTGGAGTGAGGAACATGTTCGGCATCACCAAGGAAAGGAGCTTAGATCCCTTCCCACAGTGGGGTGCTTGCTTTCTTTGTGCTCTCCTCCACAGAGGTTGTCTTGCCTCAGGAGCTGGGGTTATGGGATTTGAGCCGGTAGCCTTCTGTACAGACTCCCTATTCCTGAAACCAGACAACATGGCCTCGAGACTGAGGGGCCTGTAGTTTGGCCCCCACCGATCTATCCACAGCCTGGTCCCCAACAAGTCGAATGAAGCAAATGAACACATCCACAGTCTCACAGTTATACCCTTGTTTGGTTTTGTACTAAGAGTAGTAAAATCTCCTTTAGCATGACTTCCGTATGCAGTAGTTTTTTGTTTGGTTGGTTTCCTTTTTTAAATATATTTGGTTGTTACAGGATCTCACTACACAGTTTGGACTCATAGTGATCCTCCTGTTTTCAGCCTCCCCAGTGCTGGGATTACAGACATACGCCACTACACCTGGACTCAGTGGACGGCTCAGCCAGCCCGCCCTGGGGGTGGGGCTGGTGCTACATGTGGTCCCAGGGATTGAACCTGCGCCTTCCTAAGCTTGCTTAAGCAGGTGCTTTAGTCCACTGAGCTATCTCCCTGGTCCCTGTTGGGTTTTTTGTTTGTTTATTTGTTTTTTTCTGCTATTGGTCTTTAGTCTGACTATGAAGTTCAGGCTGGCTTGCTTGAGCTCACTTTGCAGCCCAGGCTGGTCTTGAGCTTGCAGTCCTGCCAAAGCCTCCCAAGGGCTGGGTTTCATTACTAAATCCTCGTGTGCATGAGGTCTCTAGGCTTGCTCGTCCTGAGAATCTGCTGCATCGCTCGGCTCCCTACTTCATACGGCAGCACTGCGGTGGTGCGTGCCAGGCAGGGATTCTGTCCTTGGGCTTTGTTGTCCTATCACTAGCTGTAAAGACCACTGTGACAGTATCTCTCTCATTCCAGAAACTGGTAATCACATCTTCTCTTACTCAGCTTGGCTAGTGGCTTGTCAATTTGGGGATTGTTTCTCTCTCTCTCTCTCTCTCTCTCTCTCTCTCTCTCTCTCTCTCTCTGTTGTTTTGTTTTGTTTGTTTGTTTGTTTGTTTGTTTGTTTTGAGGTAGAGTCTTGCTATGTAGTTCAGGTTGATTCCAAACACACTATCTACTATGCAGCCCAGGCTGGCCTGGAATACACAGAGATCTTCCTGCCTCAGCCTCTCAAGTGCTGGGATGACAGGCATGTACCACCACACAGCTGCCAATTTTACTAGTCTTCTCAAAGAACAGACTTTTGTTTCTATAAATTTTTGCCTATTGTTTTCTATTTTCTGTCTAACAGATTTCCAATTTGATTCTTATTTTCTTTATTTTGAGTCCAGCCTTTTCTATTTCCTAAGTTCTTAGGGTAGAAGTTGAGACCACTCATTTGAGGTATTCTTTTCTGATATAAACGTTTAGTCTGTGAACTTATTATATCCTCGTATGGCCAGCCTTTGTATCTACAGTTTACACACCTGAAAACTGAACTAAAGGCAGGTCAAAATCTGAAGAAAATTGCATCTCAGGGGCTGGGGAGATGGCTCAGTAGAATAAACACTTGCCTGGCAAGCGCAAGAGCCTGAATTCGGGGCTGGTGAGATGGCTCAGTGGTCTAAAGCACCTACTTAGAACAAGCTTAGCAAAGCATCAGGGACTGCGGTTCAATCCCCCAGCACCACATGCCAGCCAGCCCTGCCCCCTGGTGGGCTGAGTTGACCACACACACACATACATACACACACACACAAATAAATAAGTAAATAAATTTTAAAAAGAGCCTGAATTCAATCCCTGGTTCCGAAAACAAAAAAAGAAAGAAAATTGCATCTCTGCTGAATATGTAGGCTTTTTTCCTGCCATTTACATTGTATTAGATATGATAAGTAATTCAGAGATAATTTACAGTACAGGGGAGGATCTGTGTCAGTTATATGTAATTACTACGCCTTTTCATATAAGGGACTTGAGCACCCACAGAGTTTGATACCAAAGCGGTCCTGGAACTGACATCCCACAAACACTGAGGCACAACCACAATGTCTAGCTATGTCCTTTAAATCTGGAAATCTCATTTTCATTCAATTTCTTTTTCTTTCTTTTTTTTTTTTTTTTTGTACCGGGAATCAAACTCATGACGCCAGGCAGGCACTGTGCTGCTGAGCTACATCCCCAGCCCTTAACTTCTTAATTTGCTTTTTTATTTCTCCTTTGGCCAAATGATTATTTAGTATACATTTATTGGAGATGTTACAGATACCTTTTTTATTGGCCTCTCACTCAGAGAACATACTTCATGTGATTTGAACCTTTACGTTTATTGAAACTTGTTTTATGCCCAGAATATAGTTTAGCGTGGTGAGCCCACTTGAATAAGTATTCTGCTGTTACTGACCAAGTCATTCAAGTATGTGTCCTTACTGTCTTCTCACTTTCTACTTATCCTATCAAAAGAGGACTAAGATTGTAGATTTATCTATTTCCTTTTTCATTTGTATGAGTTTTGCTTCACGTATTGTGAAGGTGCTATTTGAAACCTAGTAACTTGGAATGTTATATTTTTATATCATCAGTTTGTTCTTATACAGTTTTATCCCCAGTAATATTCTTTGTTCAGGTTGACATTGTTTTCTTGGGCCAGGGAGATAGCTCAGTGGAATAAGTGCTTGCCTGGCAAGCACAATGTCCTGAGTTCAATCCCTGGTACCACCAAAAAAAAAAAAGAAAGAAAGAAATTGTTTTCTTTTTATTAGTTTTAGTGATTTTTTTTGCACTTTTACATTTAACATATTTATGTCTTTTTTTTGAAACTGAGTTTCTTATTGACAGCATATGGTTGAACTTTGTCTTTCTATGCAGTCTGATAATCTCTGCCTTTTAATTGCAGGGTTCAAGCCCTATACAGTTAGTGTAACTATTGAAATGTCTGAGTTTTAATCAACTTTCTTACTATTCATCTTTTTTTTTTCTTTGAGATAGGGATTCAGTTTATAGTCCAGACTGGTCTCAAAATCATGGTGATCCTCCTGCCTCAGCCTTCCAAGTGCTGGGATTATAGGTGTGCACTCCCATACCTGTTTCTGTTTACTTTCTATTTGTCCTCTCTGCCTTTCTTTTCTTTTTCTTTCTTTTTTTTTTTTGTTTTCTTTTCGAGGGAGTGTTCTGAGTGATACTGTGTTATCTTCTTTGTTGGCTTATTGGCTGTACTTTTTCTTATTTTAGGATGTGAATTTTACTTTTAAAAGTGACATTAAATTGAGCCCTCCAGTTCATATAATGAAAATTAAACCACCTAAACCAATCACTGGTAAGTATGATTCAGTTAATGTCTCTGCCATCGATTTCTCCATTTCGTCCTTCTTAACCTTCCTCCACAATTTCCTGTTTGTCTATTTATTAGCAGCAGTATTGAATTAAATGCATAGCTTTGAAGAAGACTTTTTTTAAGACTCATAACCTCTGGGATCTAAAAACAAATAAAAAAGCAAATATTACAGCGATGAATCAGAAGGTACATGCTATTTTCTGCTAGTCTTTTGAAAGGAGCAGTTAATGCTTAATTTTTTCCTTATTATTTTTTTAAATTTCTTATTACTTTTTTGGTGTTTTTTTTTTTTGTTTGTTTGTTTTTTTTGTTTTGTGTTCTGCAACCATTAAAATACAAGGAGCGAAGCCAGACAAGGTAGCACATGGCTGTAATCCCAGTTACTTGAGTGGCTGAAGCAGGAAGACCACAAATTTGAGCTCAGCTAGTGTCACTTAGTGAGACCCTGTCTCAAAACAAAAATATACTGAGTTCAATCCCCGGTTCC